TCATCTGCAAAATGGGCATGGGACATGCTGTCCCTCTGGGGTTTCTCTGGGACCTGCTGCTGTGTGGAAGCAGGAGGCAGTGGGTCCCTCAGCCCCTCCCTCTCCTCTTTGTCCCCAGCTGACTCAGAGTGACATGCTGCGGGTGGAGCCGCCCCTGCTGCAGTACCCTGACTGGAGGGGGCACCTGTTGTAAGTACTGCTGTGGGACAGTGGATCTCAACATGGGCGGTTTTGCTCCCCCAGGGATGTTGGGCAAGGCCTGGACACAGGTTGGAGGGTCATAACTTGGAGGTGGAGATGCTCCTGGCCTTCAGTGGGTAGAGGTCAATGTCTTGGCTGGGCACAGAATCACGAGCCACCACACACCTTGTAGATTCAAACAGCAATTCTTTATTCCCGAACTCACACCGGCCTCTACACACGTTCTGGGGAAATCCAAATTCTGCCCGCCAATTCATGTTCCAAAATACTTTCTGAATTCCATGAGAACTCAATGGGAACTCAGGCAGCAGGAACGCCCTACTCCCAGCAAGAATAACCTTCAACCTGCAACTTCCCTAAACACGGATTATCTTAAACCAGAACGCCCTAAACCCATGGAGCTGGATACTTCCTCAAACCTGCAGGATACACCTTAAACCTGGATCCACCCTGGTCCTTGAGCAGGGTCACCTTTCTCAAAGACACAGGCAATGTCCATTTAACATGGGGTATGCTGGCAAGGAAATTTCGATGCGTCATTCCTACTTGGCAATGGCCCTCAGCAGGTAGAGGCCAGAGATGCTGTTAGACCTACTATGCACAGGACTGCTTCCCCAACAAAGAATTGTCCAGCTCCAAATATCAGGGGTGGCAGGTGGAGAGAGCCTGCTGAAGGCCAAGGGCCGAGTCCTGGAGGCCTGGAGATCCTGGGGTTCCCTGCCTGTCCCCTCGCAGCTCAGGAGCTCCCAGTTTGGTTTCCATGAACCTGGTCTGACGTACAGGCAGGGCCTTTGGGTGAGGAGCCTGTTCTTCTTGTCAGTAGCTGATAGAAGCCAGATCCCATGTCGGGCAACACTGATGCTTGGCTCTACTGCCTGAGCAGACACCAGGGACCAGAGGAGAGGGGTTCAGTGGCTGAAGACTTGATCCCAAGACTGATTCCATGTTCTTAAACACAGTGGTTAGCGTGCTGAGCCTGGAGACAGGCCGCTGGGCTTGGGCTTGTGTTCTGTAGTTAACAGCAAGTGGCTCCATTTCTTCAGACCAGTTCTCTTTTGTGCTGGGGATTAAACCCAGTGACCTTTAACCATTGAACTGCATCCCCAGTCCTTTTTATATTTTATTATGAGGCAAGGTCTCACCAAATTTTTGAGGATTTCACTAAATTGCTGAAGCTGGCCTTGAATTTGAAATCATCCTGCCTCAGCCTCCTGAGTTTCTGGGATTACAGTGGCTAAACCTATTTCTTTGTCTGTAAAATGGAAATATTAATAATTATAGTGTTGTGTTCTCAAAATAACATCTGGGTGTAGGATAAATGTAGAACCACAGGGAAAGAAAACTCAGCACATGTGGGAGGGCACCTGGGAGTGAGGACAGGTGCAGAGCATAATGCCCATGTGGGACATGAGGGGAGAATAATGGCAGGGGCCTGAGAACTCCCCAGAGGAGCTTTGGGGTGGCCAGTGGTTTGAGGACCTTCTGGTAAGCACGGGCTATCTGTCTGTCTGATCTCTAGCCTCCGGGAGGAAGTGGCTAAGTTCCTGTCTTACTACTGCAAGAGCCCAGCACCCCTCAAAGCAGAGAATGTGAGTAGCCCCCTCCTCTGCTCGTTCCTGCCCTTTAGCTCTGCTCCCACTCTAGGCTGGCCAAGGGCAAGGTGGGTTGGGATCAGCCTGTCAATCTTGATTTGTTTCACAGCAGAATGAGTGGGCTGGGATTGGGGCTCAGTGGTAGAATACTTGACTAGCACGAGTGAGGTACTGGGTTTGATTATCAGCACCACATATAAGTAAATAAATGAAATAAGGTTCATCAACCGCAAAAAATATTTAAAACAAAAAAGAGAATGAGCAATGCCTGCTCCCTTCTTGACACCTGCCCCTAGATGCATTTCTTTTAATTTCTATGTTTTGGTATTGGGTATTGAACCCATGGCTGTTTTATCAAAGAGCAACGTCTCTAGCCTTCATTATTTATTATCTTTATTTTGAGACAGGGTCTTGCAAATTGGCTTTGGGTTTCACGAAATTGCTGAGGCTGGCCTCAAACTTGCACTCTTCCTGACTCAACCCCCAAGTTGCTGGGATTGCAGACGTGCACCA